CCAGCAAATTAGCAGTTACCCTGGAAACAAGGTATTTCTAATTTTTCATCCCCTAGCAAAAGTTTCATATGTATTTTTGCTTTCTACCATTTACTAAGGACTTACTTTGTTCCAGGTATTTTACTCTATCTCATTTATTCCTTACAACGGCTCTGTATCTTTGAGGGTCCCTAGCCGCAAGCAGCAGAACCAGCTAACTAAGGGGGAGGGATGGAAAGGAGGGGAGGAGAGAGGAGAGGGAAAGAGGAAGAGGGGAAGGAGTGAATTCTTCCTGTTATAGGTACCAGCAACGCCTGTCAGGTTTCCTAATAGGTACTACAACACAGTATTTAAAAGCATGAACTGAGGAACCATGGTGCCAGGTGTGCATCCTGACTTCACTTATTAGCTGGGTCTCTGACCTTGGGCAAGCCTTCTAACCAACCAGAGTCTGTTTCACTGTGCCTTTAAAAGGAAGCATACAATGCCTAATGAATCATTATGTGATAGACGACATATTGCATAAACAGTCCCAGGCTGGAAACCTCATGGAGTTGTTGCAAAATATCCCATTTTTCATGCCTGTTGTCCAAGCCTCCAAGCTTGAGTCTCCAGGCTTCCTAGGGATTCCATCCACCACCCTATACCTTTTGTCAATATATTTAACTCATCAGAGTTTGGTTCCATTGCGTAATGGAATCATAAAAGTTCCCCACCAAAAGTACATTCTGTTGTGATCCCTAGGGTTTTCATTAGCTGATTTTCTGAAGTAGATTGCCAGGCCTTTCTTCCTAGTCTGTCTTAGTCTGGAAGCTCTGCTGAAATCTGTCCACCATGGGTGATCCTGCTGGTATTTGAAATACTGGTGGCATAACTTACAGCATCATAGCAACACGCTAGCCACCACAGTATGGCAAATGACAGGGAGCTGCGAGAAATTCAAGCTGGATTCAGAAGAGGATGTGGAACAAAGGATATCACTGCTGTTGTCAGATGGATTTTGGCCAAAATCAGAGAATACCAGAAAGATGTTTACCTGTGTTTTATTGACTATGCAAAGGCATTCGACTGTGTGGGTCATAACAAATTACGGATAACACTGTGAAGAACAGGAATTTCGGAACACTTAATTGTGCTCATGCAGAGCCTGTACATAGATCAAAAGGCAGTCGTTAGAACAGAACAAGGAGATACTCTGTGGTTCAAAACTGGAAAAGGTGTGTGGCAAGGTTGCATCTTTTACCTTACTTATTCAATATGTATGATAAAGAAATAATCTGACAAGCCAGACTATATAAAGAAGAACACAACATCAGAACTGGAGTTAGACTTATTAACCACCTGCGATACAAACTTGCTTGCCGAAAATGAAGACAATTTGAAGCACTTAGTGATAAAAGGTCAAAGACTGCAACCTGCAGTATGAATTATACCTGAATGTGAAAAAAAAAAAAAAAATCCTCACAACTGGACGGATAACATGATAAATGGAGAAGAAACTGAAGCTGTCAATGATTTTATTCTACCTGAATCAACAATCAATGCCCATGGATGAAGCAGTCAATAAATCAAATGATGTATTTAAAAAAAAAAAACACAAAAAACCCAAACCCAATTCCTCTCGGTTAGCAGCCGAACTCTTAACCACTACACCACCAGGGTTTCCAATTAAGACACTGGGCAAATCTGCTGCAAAAGACCTCTTTAAAGTACTAACAAGCGAAGATATCACTCTGACGACTAACGTGCACCTGACCCAAGCCATAGTATTTTCAATTGCTTCATATGCATGCAAAGGCTGGATAATAAATGTGGATGTGAATTTTAGAATCTGGTGGCACAGTAGTTAAGAGCTCAGGCTGCTAACCAAAAGGTTGGCAGTTCAAATCCACCAGCCCCTCCTTGAAAACTCTATGGGGCAGTTCTACTCTGTCCTATAGGGTCACTATGAGTCAAAATTGACTCAACTGCAACTTGGGGGTGGGGAGGGGGAAAGGGAGGTGTTGGCATAACTGAATTAGGTGACTTCAGACCTAAATTAAAAACTCCATTTTCAATTAAACTAAGATTTTCATTTCTACTCTTCTAAAGAAACTATTCAGCCTTTTGTCAAACATTTTACTATTTGAAAAACAAAGAAGGCAGGAGTCAGGATTCTAACCTAGATAAAGAATTACTTGGTGCCTGTTAAGAATGTTGACACAGCTGGCCCCAGATAAGGCGCCTTGCTCAACAGGAGGATAGGAAATAGGACTGATGATGTTAAATGAAGTTAGAACCTGTAAATAACTTCATAGCCATGATAGGCATATATCAAGCTTTAGTCCTGACTCTCTAATTTTCACTCACTGGGATTTTTCCACTGTTTTTCTGCTAGTTGTTTGTAAATCGGTAACTAGATAGAGACTAACTTCGTTAAAATAAGGAGGCAGACTGCAGCTATAAAAGTCTTGACTGTCCATGACACAAAGAGTGCAGAGATTTGAGCTTTAACGTATGCAAATAAACTTGCTATCTTAACTACTTTCAGGGAATCGACCCAGTGAATGCCTAGGTCCTAACTTACTCCCCTTTAGCTGGATGGGCAACGTTTACTTTTGAAAAGGCTTCAGATTTAGAGCTGCTTTAATCTTCACTCTTTCCTAACTAATGGCTGATTTTACATTTCAAGGCTCCAACTAGGTTTGACTCAGCCTGCAATCCATCATTAAACCCCCACATCAAGAATGCTTGTACAGCTCACTTTAGAAATACTGCCTTAGTCAAACTGTATCAGGAATGAGATTGGTGTTAGGCTAGAAACTGATGTTAAGAAAATTTATAGTTCGACAATCCCTTGTAAATTTCTTTCCTTCTGCATCTTCTTTGATGTGAAACCATTTGCCTTTGTTTACTCTGCCTGTTGAATATCCCAGTGTTCTATCTGCAAGGCAGAACATGCGCTGCCGTCTGTTTGAATGCCATGTTTCTCTTATTTTGTGAAATGAAATTACTCCTTCGATAAAAATTTTTTTCTAATTTCTATCAGAGCATCAATCTAGTGTGTACACTAAGACATAAAAAAGGAAGACTGAAGAACTGACACATTCAAATTGTAGCGCTGGATAATACTGAATATATACTATGGACTGCCAAGAGAACGAACAAGTCTTAGAGGAAATACAACCAGAATGTTTCTTAGAAGCAAGGATGGCAAGTCTTTGACTCATTTACTTTGGACACATCAGGAAACACCAATTGCTAGAAAAGGACATCATGTTTGCAAAGTAGCAGTCGAACAAAAACAAGGGAAACCCTCAGTCAGATGGTGCAGGACAAGGCAATGTTTCATTCTGTTATACGTAAGGTTACCATGAGTTAAAGCCGACTCAGTGGCAACAAACAACAACGTAAGTACATGAAGCACTTCAAAGGGTAACGCTGTGGGAGTGTTAGCGCTCCATACTATGTAATGGTACTGTCTGGCAGGACTGGACCTTTCTTGTCCTTAGACTAGCTCACTCAGTGTCACTGATACGTAACAGTTGAGAATCTTGCCCCTGCCCCTTCAAAAGGCAACAAACAATGCTTTTTGAGCTACCACCTTTAAGATGCCTCCCTTGTCCTGCTATCCTGAAAGCTCTTATGCACCTGGCAACATTTCAAATGATCTGCAGGTTGGGGGTGTGTTTCACTTTGATGACAGGCACCCAAATCTTATTTACGGTCCCAAGTCATTGAGCTTTGCTTAATGAGTGAAGGTCTAGTCTACATCAATCCTAGGGTAGAATCCTTGCCCTGAGTGAATTCCTTGTTCTGTGCTGCAGGAGGGCCCCACTGCCCTTAGCTTGCAAAGGGACTTCACAGAGGACAGCATGATCGTATCAGTTTCAGTTCAGAATCTGGCTCTTTCCATCATAATGTTTTAGAAGGTAAAAGCACGGAAGACTGAAAACATAAGTTTTATTAATGAAGATGTTGAAGCATTCACAAAATGCCAAGGAAAACCATTCACTGTTCATATTTCATTCAATTTTTTCTTTCCTCCCTTTCTATTTTTTTTAATCTCAGAGCCTCTGAGGCCTGAACTTTCACTATGTAACAGGAAAGAATGCCCTCTCTCAAACAGACGCTCATTCACACTGTTAGGGTTATTTTGCTGTTTTTTTAGTGTTCCAGTATTAGCTATCCACGGTTTGTCTCTATTGGGCTGTGATGTGAACTTATCAAATCTGACTTACATGTTCAGAACTTCTTGGGCTATATGCTCTGGCCATGGCTTCAGTCAGTGTTCCCTCAGATAGGATGCACAAAAGACAGGGCCATTAGAGCCCCTCAGTGTTGGGCTGATAGCAGTACTGAGTACTGATGACAGCCAGGAAATGAGCAAAAGGTTGCATTAGGGAATCAGCAAATTAAAGCCTTAACTCTAAGGTGGATAACTCCATTTTCCTCAACTAAAATAGTGGGTTGGATAATGCTTTTGTAAGAGATACTGTATGTTTTGTGTACACAGCACACAAAGTTTAACATATTTTATTATACATAGTATACAGACTACAGACAGATTTAGGGAAAACCTCCAGACTATTTCCTCAAATGATTGACATAGCCAAAATAAAAAAAGGGGGGGTTAGGTGGGGTGGGGAGGAAGGACAGAAACTCAGCCCATTTAGAATCTGAACACAAAATGGGAAGACATTTATTTTCATAAAGCCTTGGTGGAAATACATCCCAAGGATAATTTGACCTCTGGTTTTTCCTCTGGTTCTACTGACCACAGGCAGGTCACCAAAAGCTAACTGTTCAAAAGAGGAAATAGTGGCTGCCTGATACAAGCAGCAACTCCATAGTCATCAAAGCTATTGTTCCCAGAACAGCTTAGCAACATGGGTCCATGATAGTTTATATACTCAAACATATCCATTTGGAAGTTCTTATTGAATGAAAATCAGAAAGTCACGAAATTAAAGGATAGGCCACTTACAACATAAGAAAGAGGACTGTCCCTATTCAAAGGGTTCACAATCTCAACTGGTCCTTCAAAACTGCAAATGATGTTAGAGTAACATTATAAAACAACTCAAATATGAAAAATATATATATATTACAATTATAATTATTGGAGTCTTTTCCCTTAGGTAAGGTTTTCAGAAAACCCAGGGATAGATTTTATATCACAAAATGGTCCATATCGCCCAAAAATATCTTTTGATTGGACAGTAAAATAGTATTTGTTGGAGGATAAAAATTGAGATAAAGTACAGGCCATAGGGAGTGGTAAAGCTTTAATTTCTCCAATTTTCTTCCAAATCAGCTTATTATTAGGGCTCTCGTGGCAGAGGAAGAGGTGGTAGCTTTCCACAGGAGCACACTTGGGATTGATTTTGGTGATATTCCAAGTCAGGGCAATGCCCCTGGGTTTCAGCACCCGTTTTACTTTGAGCTCAGGCTTCTGGGGAGGAAGTGTGTCTCGAATTTTGTCTACCAGCTCAGGTAGTAGTGGTGGTGGTTCTGGGAGAGGTGGCAGGTGCTCAAAGGACTCAGGAACCTAAAAACACATTTGTAAAAAAGTTTAGCGAGCAGGTTTGGTGGGTACTGACTATTTTAATGTGGTCAAATGCAGTTGTACAAATATATATTTCTCAATCCTCAATCCAATTATCAAATAATAAGAACACAAGGATACTTCACAATATGTGAGGTCTCCAAAGAAGAAATATAAATGGCCAACAAACACATTAAAAGATGCTCAATGTCATTAGTAGTTTTGTTGTTGTTGTGTGCCGTCGAGTCGATTCTGACTCATAAAGACCCTATAGAACATGGCAGAACTGCCCCCTAGGCCTTCCAAGGCTGTAATCTTTACGGAAGCAGACTGCCACATCTCTTTCCCACAGAGCGGCTGATGGGTTCAAACCACTGACCTTTTTAGTTAGCAGCCAAGTGCTTTAACCACTGCGCCACCAGGGCTCCTTCATTAGTGGTTATAAAAAAAACCAAACCCACTGCTGTCAAGTCAATTCTGACTTATAGTGACCCTATGGGACAGAGAAGAATTGCCCCATGAAGTTTCCAAGAAGTGGCTGGTGGATTAAAACTGTTGACCTTTTGGTTAGCAGCCAACCTCTTAACCACTGTGCCACAAGGGCTCCTCATTAGTGGTTAGGGAGATGTATATCAAAACCACAATGAGGTAGCACTTCACACTTACAGGATGGGTATAATAAAAAATATGTAAAAAAAAATGTTGACAAGGATGTGGAGAAACTGGTGTAGGAATGCAAAAATAGTTCACCTGCTGTGGAAAACAGTTTGGGGATTTCCTCAAAAAGTTAACCATAGAGCTTTCATACATAAGACTCCTTTAATTCCACTCCTAAGTGTATACCCAAAAGAACTGAAAACAGGTACTCGAATTCATGTACCTGCATGTTCATAGTAACACTACTGACAATAGCCAAAAGTGGAAACAAACCAAATGTCCATTAATGGATGAATGGATAAATACTGTGGTATATACAAACAATGAAATGTTATTCAGCATAAAAAGGAACAAAGTACTGACACATGCTACAATGTGGGTGCACCTCCAAAACAATATGCTAAGTGAGAAGCTAGACACACATATTGTAATACTACATTTATATGAAATACCCAGTACAGATAAACCCAGAGTGAGAATGCAGACAGGATGTTGCCAAGGGCTGGGGGGAGGGAGTGGGGAGAAACTGCTTAATGGGTATGGGGTTTTACTTTGGAATGATGGGAACTAGACAGAGGGGGTGGTTGCACAACAATGTCAATGTACAAAATGCCACTGAGCTGTTCACTTTAAAATGGTTAGTTTTATGTTATGTGAATTTCACCTCAACATATTCTTAAAAAAAAAAAAAAGAATATGTGAGACTGGATCTAGTCTTTTTAAGCATAAGCTTCTTCTGGAATTAAGATTTCTACACTCTGGAATATCCCAAATTCAGAATGGGTGAGGTCCTAGACATTCTGGAAAAATATTCCATCTCATTTCCAAATTGTGTTCCCAAATGTGCTGACATGACAAGTGACAGTGTATGAGAGTACTCATCTCCTTACACCTTCATCAACAATGGCTACTACCCTTAAAACAAAATTCTTTTCTAATTTTTCAGACGAAAAGTAGTTTTTCTTTCTGTAGCTTCTGGAAAATTCAACTGAATTACTTTAATTGTGTGAATGGGCAGACTCACAATAGCACACTTTCAAAGCATATTAAAGTGCTTTCTAAGCTGAAATGTGACCCAAATGTTTTTCAAGCATAACAGTGGAATGCATGTCCCTTACAGATCATCTCATAAAAGTACCTGGGCTGCAATATGTGCCACTGGAGTTGTCTCTTTTGAGTTTAAAACAGCTTTCGAAGGTGACTCCAGGGAGGAGACTGGACTTTCTGCGAACACAAGGTTTTAAGAAGTAAAATTTATCTGCAACAATCCATTTCACAGCCTTCAAGCAAGGAATAGTTTATGTCTCGGGTGGTAATAAAATGTGAACTCAAATTACCAAATTGTGAAATGTGAGGATACATTCTGATAAATGTTCAAGACCCAAAAGTTCCAAATATAGAGAATTTTCCTTATTTAATGTGACAAAAATTCCCCTCTGGAGGAAAACCCTCAGTCATCATGCAGTTAGGAACAGGGTGCTAATACAAATGGAAGAGGGATCCATGGTCAGTGGTTTCACAGGTGAGCTCTGTTCTGTTAGGCTGACAAGTCATGTCCACACACACAGAGCTGTTTTTAATCATGTATGAAATGTGATACACACAAATCTTGGAAATTCAAAGTAAAAGTCATGTAGGCTGGGGCTAAAGAAATCTCTACCGATAAGGTATGTGTTAGCCCGGAGAGAATTAGGTATAAATATGTGGACTGGGGGAAGTTTTTTCCAATGTTAATGTCTTGCGAACATTTTTATCTTTATAACTGTGCAATGGTTACTTCAATGCTTTGCGTTCTCAAAAGAACAGATCCTTTGCTGCGTGTATATGCACATGTGGACACATATTTATCCTTGTAAATATCTGTATTATAAAAATGATTTTTAAAGTTTGTTTCAAATGAACTTTACAGAGATAAAATTTAGGTACAGTAAAATGTACCCATTTTAAGCATATATTATGCTGGGCAAGGGGCAGGGAGAGAAGGGACAGAAAGAAGGAAAGGGAGAGGTGAAAGAAAGAAAGGAGATGGGGAAGGCAAAAAATGTGGGCAGGAGGGAGAAGAAGTTGTATACTAAATTGAGAATGATCTGAAACCAACTGGAAAGAGTATATATAGGGGATGGTAAAAAAAAAAAAAAAAGGGGGTCCATGTTAGCAAGCAGTTTGAACTGTGTTTGGAAAGTAGAAAGAAGTTTGAATATATCCAGTAAGCAGTAAATATAATCTTAAGTCCATTGTGTGCCCAGTGTGTTTAATATACTTAATGATCTCCCCAAATGAAATGTCTTTTATCACTTTTTTCTTTTGACTGACAAGGATAATTAAGATTCTGCATTGTGTTTCAATGTTAATCTATTAGTCACTTTGCTAGCAATGAAAGACCTTTTCAAAAATTTATTTAACTTTTTAGTGTTGGTGAGAATATACACAGTAGAACATAAAAGACTTTTTGAAGAGGTAATGACTTTATGCTTTTAATTCTAAGGTCCGTAGCTTTTATATACTTTTGAATTTATCAGAACTAGATCAGTGAAATAATAATCTGAAGGCTAATCATCAGACGAGAGGTGATACAACCAACCTCCTTTAAATTTTCAAGTGGATAGTTGTCTACAAAAAAAAATATTCTAACAAATATAATCTCCCGTAACTAACATTCCTTCTTTTAAGGTAATTAAGTCAACAAGCCCTTGGCAAATTAAAACAGGCTAAGACAGAACTCCACTTTATGACGACAGGAGAAAAAAAAACAGGACTTTCATTCCAACCTGGTTAATTGGTTATATCTTCAGTGTCACCAATGTCAATGTCTTATAAATATTCTCTGTTGTTTATCCTTACCTGTATAAAAATGTGTACTGGCTACTTTAGTGCTTTGTGTTCTCAAAGCAACAGCACCAGTTCCCCATTATTTAAGCTTCTTCATTAAACTGCTAGGTGAAAATTGTGGCCTCTGGTTTTAAATTTAACCCTTTCAAGGTTCAATTATTTTCTGCTTTGAGTTTTTTTTTTTTTGATACCATGTGTTTTCATTAATGGAAGCATGCTGAGTCATAGAATGTGTTTAAATTTTTGGTTGGTAATATGGATTTTGAGAAATATTATCTGGTACTACATGGTTACCACAGAACATTTAAGGTTCTCGAACCCCAGAATTAGTGGTTCACCTGTCTTTACCACTGGACCTTGGTTGCTGATGTTTTTTGTGGCGCCTTCCATTAGGTTACATGGGAAACCCCTGGTTTTCCAAATATGACACACAAAACAAAACCCACCAGAGCTCCATAACGATAACACTTGCCCGCTGCCGTCGAGTTGAATCCAACTCATAGTGACCCTAGAGGACATAGCAGAACTGCCCCATAGGGTTTCCAAGGCTGTAATCTTTACAGAAGCAGATTGCCACACCTTTCTCCCGCAGAGCGGCTGGTGAGTTCAAACCACTGACCTTTCAGTTAGCAGCCAAGCACTTAACCACTGCTCCACCAGGGCTCCTATCACACAGGAAACCATAAATACACTTATAAGGCTTATCTAGGTTACAAAAGCCAAAAGAGACAAAATTTTTACCCAATCACACTTCCTGGTTGCACTACCTTACTTGCAAACCTCATACCCCAGCTATTTTGCTTCAACTAACATTTCCTTTGCCTTTCGCCGTTATTCAAGTCCCCACTGGAGGGCAGTAAATACTTTCAGTGGTACAAGTATACTACCAAACAACCTGAGAGCCGGAAAAAGTGGGTGATGCACGGTATACACCATGGACCATGAAAGAGTGTGGGGCTTATAATATTTAATTTGCACGATGCTAAATCAAATATGCCTACTATAGAAAGGTTAGGGGGGAGCAGTACTTATGAAAAACAAATTCCCACCTTCCCAGAGACTACTAATCCTTTGGTGTTTGACCTTCCAGATCCTTTGCTACATTATATGCCTATGCAGACATATCTACTTATCCATGGAAATATTTATATTATTAAAAACAATTTTAAAAGTTTTTATTTCTTACATGAATTTTACAAAGATACAATTTACGTAAACTGCACCCATTTTAAGCATACGGTTCTTTGTGTTTTGACGAATCTATATACTTATGAAACCATCAACAAAATCAAATATTTCTTTCACCCCCAGAAGTTCTTTAATATCCCTTCTCAGTCAATCCCCTTCTCACCTCTGGTTCCATAAAACCAGGGATCTGTTATCACTAAGATTAGATTTGCCTTTTCTAGCATTCTACATAAACCAAATCATACAGTCTATACAATTGTTTTGCCCAGCATATTACTGAGATTCATCCACGTTACTGCATATACCAATATTTCACTCATTCTTCTTGTTGAGTAGTATCCAGTTGTATGGATATGCCAAAATTGATTTATCCACTCATTTGTCGATGGACTTGTTTTTCCTGCTCCTCCCCACTAAGTACAACTATAAATGTGGAAATACTGCAAGAGGTAACCAAAGGAAAATTCTGAAAGGTGAAAAGAGGAAAGTGGACTATTTGGAGAACCCAGGACTAGAGGGACAACATAGCAGCAGGGCATTTTACACCCCTACCCACCCAACAGAAGGTGACCTAGGCCCAGAGTTTCCTAACCCTCAACCTAGTAGCAGGCCCAGGTAGGCTCATTTCTCTCCCAGACTGAAGAGGAGATCTACTGACAGTATCAGAGCCCTGCAGCACTGGCAAAAGGGACCAATTGAGTACCCTGCTGAAAATAAACAGCCAGGGTAAGCACTCCCCCTCCACACCAGGCCTGAGACTCCTCTCCCCCATCAAGAGATACAGGCAGATGAGCAGCACCAGTAAGGGGATCCTGCTACATACAACAAGTGCCCACTCTGGGAGGTACTCTCCTTTCCTGCTAGGCCTGAGACTCTCCTCCACACCAGGCAGTAGGGAGAGGAGAAAAAGTGGCAAGGGATCCTGCCACAAAAAGCACCAGGTCTGGGAAGTGGTCTTTGTCCCCATGGGTTGGAGACTCTAGAGGCATGAGGTGGCCTGTCCTTGAGAAGCTCCTTCCACCTTCTCTGGTAGCACCAACAGAGACCCGTGGAACCCCAGCAGCATCAGATAAACCCAGCAGACCAAAAGCGCACAGGAAAGGTTTTGAAAATTAAATTGTCATCAGAACCACAGCCCATGAAACTAAACTAAACATGGTAACTGTCTATTAAAAGAAAAGATTTAAACAGGACTTAGAATCTTCTAACATAATAGACAAAATGTCCAGAAGACATTAGAAAATTATCTGTCATACCAAGAACCAGGAAAATCACAACTTAAATGAGAAAAGACAATCAATGGATGCCAATGCCAATCTGAATCAAATGTTGGGATTATCTGACAAGGATTTTAAAGCAGCCATCATAAAAATGCTTCAACAAGCATTACAAATTGTCTTGAAACAAATAAAAAAAATAAAAATAAAAAATTTCACCAAATTATAGAACGCAAAAATACAATAAAAGAAATGCAAAAACTTGCTGGCTTAAGTATTACAATCCTAAGTATGGCAGAGTGGAAGTGACAGAGGACAGAATCAGTGAACTTGAGGACAGATCAACAGAATTTACCCCATCTGAACAGAAAATAAATTGAATAAAAAAGACGGATCCCCAGAGAACTGCATGCCAATAACAAAATATTCAATATTCATATAATTAGAATCCCAAAAGGAGAGGATAAAGAGTAGGGCTAAAAGAAGATTCAAATAATAGCTGAAAACTTCCCAAATTTGGTAAAAGACACATACATACACACAGACAGATTTAAGAAGCCAAGAGAGCCTCTATAGGATAAATCCAAAGAAATCCACACCACCACACATCATAATTAAACTTCTGAAAATGAAAGACAAAGAAGAAATCTTGAAAGTAGTTGGAGTAGAAACGACACACTTACCTATAGCGGAACACCATGTTGAATTTCAGCAGATTTCTCATCTGAAACTACGGAGGACAGAACGGAGTGACACAAATTTTTCATGTGCAGAACAAAAAAACCTGTCAACCATGAATTCTATATCTGGTGAAAACTATCCTTCAGGAATAAAGGGGAGATAAAGACATTCTCAGGTGAGGGAAACTGAAAGAATTTGTCTTTAGTAGACCTACACTGCTACATTCAAAGAATGTTGTGATTTTCCTGGTTCTTGGTATGACTAGCGGAAGTTTTTCAAACAGAAAGAAAATCATAAAAGAAGAAATCT